AGTGCCAAGTGTAAATGTATACGATTATCGCAATATGATATTAACACTATTGCAAATGTTTTATATTTTAAATAATTAACCGTTTAGATATTCAGCTTAATTGCCATTATTGTTGAGTTTAATGTCGAAATAGAGTAAAGATTATTATAATCGAATATGCTACAAGTGGATGCTTTTGACTTTTCGATGCCCAAGTAATTACCGGATTACAAAATGGATCGAAAATTTATTCGAGTGCATGTGCACTTATCGAGGGAATTGTCATGATTAGAATTATAGAGATATATAAGTCACAGGCTCGACACACATGCCGTTAAAAGCGCTTTCTAAATTTCGCGACAAATTTCGTGTAATATTGTAGTAAGTGTAAATAAGAGGCATGAATGACGTGGTGGTAGTGGTGTCGTAGTGGATATAATCATCGCACTTAAATGAACCTCGGTCTCCTTTCTTCAAACTCAGCCAACTTTCAGTTTGTACGAAGTGTTTGCTGATTATGTAGTCGGTGGCGGGACCATTAGGTTTCGCTCGACTAGATTAGTGGAAGAGTATTTCGGGGTGTAAGAGCGGCGAAAGCTCGCCTGAAGAAGTGGGAAGGACGGCGATATCTGATGCACCGTCGATGTAGTGGTAGCCCAGCCACGTTGCACAGTGAGGAAAAAACGAACGGGATCGTAAGTACGGAAATCATAACCCGCGGTAGGGACTTGAGCGACTCGTTCCCCTTCCTAATCCGGACGACGGCGCCGCCGCTAATTATGGTCCGGAAAAGCTGCGAAAATTAAAAAGTGGGGATAGAGAAGCCATGACTGCGGTACGTGGCGTTGCGGGGTGGGGATCGCGGGCGTACGGGAATCGGGAAATCGAAATGCCCCCCGTGTCAATTTTAGGGGAGCGCACGACGATTGGCCGAGGCCGGGGTGATTTGCGACCGAGTCCGAGAGCTCGGGCTGGGGTGTGAGGGGCACGAGTGGACGATCCGGCGGGTGGGGTAGGGGGTAAAACGGGGGACCGACTGGTAGTGCGACGATGGTTAAAGGTAGTCGGGTGGCGATGACCGGGACGGGGTGGGGGATGGGGTGATGCGTATACGCGTGTTCAAGTGTGCGTCAGGCGCGCGCGCGCGCGGCCGGCTTGGGCAGGGGGG